CATATATTTGTCTAAATATAAAAAGCACCTGATTTGGAAAAGGGGCAAAGATCAGCGATACGCTGTTATTTTAAGGAGAAAGATGACTGGGAGAGACCAAAGTCTGCAGCAGGAGAGGCACCTGACCTGGACATCAGGGGGCACAGGGTGGGGTCTTCGGGGGAGAGGGAACACAGGCGGAGTCCGGCTGCAACCGAGGGCAGGGGGCACTGCCCGTGGGACCTACTGCCTGCGCGGGGCTGGGGGTGTTAAAACGTTGGGGAAGCAGGCAAAAAGCCAGCACAGGGACAAAACGGGAGCGGAGTCAAAGAAGGCAAAGGCCACCGCCGTCTTGGGAGATGAGGAGGGAAGTGCACGGGCGTGGGTCGCTGTCCAGATCCCGGGGGCAGGTAGGAGAAACAGGGCTGGCGGGGGGTGGGGGGGTCCAGACAGGCGTCCGCGGGGCGCCCGAGGAGGATGTGGGGCCCGGGGCCGCGTGGGGGACACGGGAAGGCGTGGGGTCCGAAGACGCCGTGGGGGGCCCGGGAACCACGTGGGGCCCGGGGACAGCCTGGAGGCCAGAGGACCGCGTGGGAGAGGACGCTGGGGTCCTGGACCCCAGGGAAGGAGAGGCGCGCAGTCGCGGCTCTCTGGCCCCGCCCCTCCTGCCCAAGACTCCGCCCAGGTCCCGCCCACGCCTCCACCTAGGCCCACCCCCCTCTAGCCTCGTCCAATCGGCAGCCCGCTGCCGCCTCTTGGCCCCAGGTGTCCCGGCTTCCCCAACGCTTGTACGTTCCGAAGGACAGCCCGGCGGCCCAATGAGCTCTCAAAATGGACGGAGGGGCGGTGGAAAAACCAATGCAGAAGCGGCGCGGGCAGGGAAGGCGGGCGTCCGTGATGGACAGGAGGGGAGATCCCAGGATTGTTGCTGGTTACTAGCTGCCGCCCGCCGCCCGGCCGCTTCATTGTCACCGGGCCTCGGAGCCTGCGCTGGCCCCGAGAGCAAGAGGTGGCCGTTTGGAAGCCCGGGCCCCGCGCAGCACCCGCGGCTCAGCCCGCCCTGCGCAGGTGAGGGTGTCCCCGCGCAGATGAGGCGGTCCAGGGCCATGCCCGTGAGGGCCCCTGCACAGATAGGTGGAGCCCAGTCAACAGTTTCAGGTCCCACCACCTTGAGCCGAACTCCAGGGAGATAGGGAGCTGCCCCTTGAGTAGCTGCCAGGGGTCCTGAGGGTTTCAGGCGGAGGCTGTGGACACCCAGTTTCAAGTCCTGGGAGGACATCTTTGCATGGAAGGTGAGGTCGGGCCTTGAGTTTTCTAGTGAGAGGATGTTTGCCCTCCCAGAGCCTGGCGCACTACTGCTCTTGTGCCCAGCCAGCCAGCCTGGGTCTGGCTGGGTGTGGCGGGTGCCCTGAGGAGAGGAGGGTGTTGAATTTCACCCACAGGACCAGAAACACATAACTGAGGACCCTGGCCTGGTACCCGGCAGGGTCTGCTCCCCACTCCAGACAACAGGAGTGTCCGGCATTGGGCCAGGGGCCTCCCTATGGGTGTCAGGGTTGGAGGAGGCCATGGAGCTGACTGTGGGTGACAGTGGGTGTGAGCCTGCTGGCCCACCAGCGTCCTGGGTGGCAGGGAGGGCTCTGTGCATTCCTCTCTGGTCACTGCTGGTGTCGTTCACCCGCTCATCTGCTCCTGTTACCTGAGTGTCCACCAGGTGCTGGCCGAGTGCTGGGGCCACACGGTCCCTCTGCTCATGGAGGGAGCCAGGGGTGATGCGGCCGGGCCAGCCTCTGAAGGCAGGAGGGGATCCAGGCAAAGGGACCCGCAGGAGCAGAGGCTTGCGATGGAGGCAGGCTGGTGCGGTGTGAGGGGCGGCTGGAAGGCTGGTCTGGCTGCAGCAGGGAGAGGCAGGCAGAGGGTGGCCGAGAGCAGACCAGAGAGAGAGCAAGGCCAGCTTGGAGGGCCATCAGGCATGTGGGCTTTATACTCTCTGCCTGGGAGCCCTCGGAGGGTTTTCCGAAGGGGCCCAGGGCCCAGTGTGATTGGAGACCCTGCTCAGAGAGGTCAGTCTGGCCGCATACGGTGGGGCCGGCCTGGGGAGGGGGACAGGGCTCCTGCTGTCCAGGGCCCAGGGGAAGGGGCCCCGACCAGGTTGTTGGGGGAAAGCGTAGGACCAGGCCCAGATGCTCGCAGGTGTTGGGGGCTCTGAGGAAGTGGAGGGGGCCCGTGGCCAGACGAGGGGACCTGGGTGGGCAGCACTCATCACACCAAATCGTGGTCAGAATATCGCTTGTCAGGTGCTCACCACGCTCCAGCCTCACGGTCCTGTCTGAGCCCTAGGACATCACCCAGGGGCGCCCTTTAAATGCCTGTTTTACAGATGGAAACAGTGAGGCTCAGGCAGGCAGGGTGTCCTGGGGTGGGAGGGGTGACAGGGCTCACCCCAGGCCCCCCTCAGCAGGGTTCCTCCTGGGGGGGTCATCTTTCTTGCTCACCGCTGGGAGTCTGCCACACACCTCATTTTCCTGATGGGGAGACTGCCGCAGCAAGGGGGGGTGGCTGGGTGGTGGCAGGCTTCCTGGAGGAACTGGGAGCAGACAGACCTGGGAGCCCTCGGCTCCCTGAGGCCCTGCAGGAGGTGTGTGCAGGGCACCTCCTTCCTTGAAGGGTGTCTCACTGTGTCCCTTCCTGCCAGCTCAGGGCCTGCTCACCCACAATGAGAGGCTCCCGGGCTGTTAGGGGCGCCCCCGGCCCCCCTGAGAGCAGCCCAGAAGGCGTGGACCTGAGTCTGACAGGCCTCCCCCCGCCTGTGACCCGGCGCCCCAGCAGTGCCTCCAGCATCAAGCCCATCGCCCGCCCCGTCTCTGCGGCCCTGGGCGGTGAGCCGGGGAGCCTGGCGCGGGTGAGTCCCCCCCCCACACCTCTTGGGGGCTCCTGACTCCTGGGCAAGCTCTGAGCCGCAGCAGGCCCCCCACCCATCCTGTGGGGGCAGGCAGGAAGGATTCCAGCCCCCGGGTCAGGGAGCTCACTCACGGACACGGTACAGCCAGGGCCGGCAAGTCCTTGCCCCTCCTGCCCCACCAGGTTTGGGGTCATTGGGCTCCTTGACTGTGGGAAGGAGGGGCCCGTGGTGGCCCTGGAGGAGCCCCGGGTTGGGGGGAGTCGCCGGCTGACTCACTGGTGAGTGACAAGGACCAGCAGCCTTCGCCCCCGGACCAGGCCTCCCGCATTTCCTTGGACCCTCCAGCTCCCAGGGCTGCAGGCCTCCCACTCCACGGGAGGCAGCTGGGTCATAGAGGCCGGGGCCCTGTCCTGGACCCCCACGCTGCCCTCCTGCCTATCCAGGTGACCCAGGAGGCCCTTCCCTCCACACCTACCCACCTCTTTAAAGCTGCTTGCCGGAGCCTGGCCTGGAGCCAGGTGAGCTGGCGAGTGTCTGAAATGTTTGCCGTGTGACTGGCTATTTCCTCCTTTTTGCAGGAGGCCACAGAGCCCGGAAGCCCTCGGGCCACCAACAAGCTCCGAAGACCCAACAGCACCACGCAGGTCCCCCAGCCACAAGCCAGCCAGGCCTGGGCCAGCCCCCCCGGGTAACCCCAGCCCCTCAGGTGACCCCTGCCATCCTCGGGTGACCTCAGCCTGCTCCTTTCCTGCCTCTGTCTGCCTCTCTGGCCTCGCCAGTGTGCACTGCTGCTTGGCAGTGGGGCGTGAGGCGACTTCACGTGGCCCACTGAGTGGGGGCAGGCAGGCCAGGTCTTCGTCTGTTTCGTGTGGAGGTCCGACCTCAAGGCCAATCTCCTGGCTGCTTGCCTCCCGCACCCCTGGCGTGGTTTTCTCCCGGGCCTTGGGGTGAGCACGCTCCCAGGCCTGCTTGTCAGATAAGGGACCAAGAGGCCATACTGAAGGTGTCGGCCGGGCCGCACAATGCCCTTTGGTGACCCACCCTCCCTTCCCACCTGTGTTCCTGGAATCATCCTCCCTGAGGGAGGGACTACCCTGGCCTGCTGAACTCTATCCACTAGGCCTGCCGAGTCCCCTGGCTTCATGACGCTCTTTGAGGGTGGCCCCGGCGGGACAAAGAGGCTGGCAAGCCCCAGCAAAGCGTCCCGTGAGAGGGGAGCCGTGTGGCCCATGCCGGTGAGGGCCAGGGCTGCGCCTGAGCACCCCGCAAGCAGCAGCGTCCCTGTTCTTGCCACACCTGCGGGAGGGCCATGAGGGGAGGGGGTCACGTGAGCCCGCTCGGACCACGTTACTGCGTGAGGAGGGGCCAAGACCTCCCCGGCCACCCCAGTGCTCCCCGTGTGTGAGGTGGGGGGTGGGTGGGCACGGAGGGGACACAGTGTCAGCAGCATCATGGGCTGAGGCCGAATCCGTCCACACCAACAGGATGACCAGCCCCGGGCCTTCAGCTTGCCGCCTGCCACCCAGAGCCCCAGCACCCTCAGCACACCAGGGGGCCCCCGGAGGAGAGAGTGCACCGTGCCCCTGGCACCCAACTTCACTGCCAACAACAGGTGCGACCCACTGCAGGTGCCTGGCACAGCCCCACCCCCAAGGCCCCCATGGCAGCCGTGGCCGGACCAGGGTGCTGTGAAAGGAGTGAGTGGGTGTCCAGGGGAGCGGCTCTACCTGAGGGCCGAGGAGGAGGCCACACGGTGGTGTCTTCATACAGGGGCTCCACTCCGGTCTGGGGGCCTCAGAAGGGCAGGTTCTCTCCCAGTCCTGGGTGCCAGCTTTACTATTGGAGAGGTTGCCTGGCAAGTCTCATGTGGGGCAACCAGCAACCTTTTAAGGCTCATGGGGGGCTCTGGAGCTTGGGTGGCTGCCCCCATGTCTTTAGGAAGGAAGCAGCCCATTCCCCCTGCCTGCACTTGCTCGCTGTGGGTTGAGAGCCAGGCAGTGTACAGGCTGTGGCGGTCACCTCTCAGTCGTGCCAGCTGTGCTGTGGCAACAGCACGTTCAGAGTAATGGCTGGGGCGGCAGGGTAGGCGGCGGGGGGCCGGGCGGGCTGTGGCCTCCATCAGTGGGGCTGGTGGCTAGGACTGGGTTGGGCAGGGTGAGCATGGCCAGAGGGGCCCACAGAGGAAGTTGGCTTGGGACCTCGGCTGCCAGTAGAGCTGGTCCTCTTCGCTCTTGGCCTTCGTGGGCCCAGTGGCCAGACAAGGACCCGTGCCTCAGCACAAGCGCAGGTCCGAACCGTGAGGGCCAGTCACCCAAGGAACCGTCTGCAACTGCCTCAGCCCCGATACCTGACCCAGTCTGATGGGCTGGGTTCCAGACTGGGGCACTTCCCTGACACCTGGAGCCTTTCCTCTGCTCCCATGCACGCTGCCTTCCTGACCCCATCCTTCTGTGTCCCCAGGGCACCCTGGGCCACCTTTTCATGTCTGTCGTGAGGTTTCATGGCCTTCGGCATGGGTCCCTCAGGGCCCTGGGCTCTGGTGGCTGTTCAACATGGAGACGCGTGCCATTGGTCCTGGGAAATTTTCTCTTATTTCTTTGGCAATTTTCTTCCCTTTCTTTTTTCTGTTCTTTCCATGACTCCCACTGTGGGCCTCCTGGATTGATCTGCGAAGGCGGCACCATGTCTGGTTTTCTTTCCCTTCGGCTTCAGGGTCCGCGGTCAGGGCCCGGGACCTTCTGCTTTCAGTTTTCTCTCGCTCCGTTCCTGCCCCAGCTCTCAGTTCCTGGAGCTCCTTTGCTCCCTGCGTGTTTCCTCCCTTCCTTCCTGTTTCGTAGTGCCCTGTTCTTGTTTCATCTTGCGTGTCTTTGAGGATACCAGGTGCTAGTAGGCTGGAGCTGCCCACGGACAAGGACCCACGCCTCAGCACAAGTGCACGTCCGAACCGTTAGGGCCAGTCACCTAAGGAGCCGTGAGCCTGGTGTTCTCTCTTCCCAAGCCTGTGTTCGTGCTGTGTGAAATCAGCCGCACTAGGAAGACAACACCAGTGTAGTTGGCAAACGCTGCAAATAAGAGCATTCCCCCTGAGAAGCGGCTGCCAGGCCTTGGTCGGCACAGCCTGGTATGTAGTGTAGGTGTTTGAACCGTCCTGACCTCTGCTTGGCCCCATCTCCATCACGTCCTGCTGTCTGTTGGCCTTTCGCAGGCGGGTTGTCTGGAATACTGGCTCTGTCGGAATTTAAGGAGGTCCTCAAGCTGCTGCCTGGTGTTTGGCAGGGACCTGGCTGTTGTTTGGCGGTTCCCACCTGTCAGTATCTGCGACTTTTCCCTGGGCTGCTCACTCTGTCCAAGGAGAGTCTCTGGTCCCCACCTCGGGGTTAGAGTCTTGCTGCCAGAGGTGCGGGCCAGGCAGGTGGGGGTGCAGGTGTCCTGGGTGGGTCACCAGACCTCTTCACCTGGGGAGGGCCTGGCTTGGTGCCTGGGGGCAGCTGCTCCTGTGGGAGAGCCAGATGCCTGCACTTCCCGCACCCCCCTGGGACCTGGGGGCAGACCAGCCGCCTGGCGCCAACCCCACAGCCCCTGGTCCCCCGACTGCACGTGGCTTCCTGATGGCTCTGCTGTTTCTTACTCTGTAAACTTTGTGGACACCTCTTTGCTGCTGTCCCCTGGAGCCCTTGTCCTCGTGCGTTTGTGGCGTGTTTATTCCCTGCTCTGGGTTTGAGGGGAGGATGCAGCACGTGCCCTGTTGTTTAACTGGTGCTGGAAGGCCTTTGCCCTGCTGACTGATGACCTGTGACCAGTCTCCCAGCGCAGGCGCGTCCATCGTCAGGGGCCCTGGATCTCACTGCTCCTGCCTTGCTTCTGCTCGGCAGAAAACCCCAGGTGGGCTTTCCCGGCCTGAGAAGGGCCCCGTCGCTGGGCAAGGTGGCCGCCGAGGGGTCCTGCTGGAGGCTCGGCCTGCACCGCGGTGAGCGCTGAGCCCGGCGTGTTGGGGACCCTCTCGCCGCCTCCCGGGGCCTGACGCTGCCTCTCGTCTCTTTGAGCAGGAGCAGCAAGGGAGCCGTGGGCAACCGCGTCACCACTATGGTGCACAACCGCTGCGGCCTCTTGGAGAAGGCTCCGCCCCCGAGGAGCTCCAGCCGCTCGCCCTGCCCCCTCAAGTAAGGCTCTGACCCCCGGGGCCCAGGAGCTAGGTGCGTGAGAGTGCCAGGGCCCAGGACGTGCAGACCGCGCTGGGCGGGCAGTCCGGCTGCAAAGCCTCAGCCTCCCCAAGTCCCCAGTCCGCTGGCTGAGTCCAGAGCCAACGTGGGTCTGGGGCAGGACTTGGCACCCCCGTGCCCACCGCCGGATGCCCAAGTCGGAGATGGTCTATGATGTGTCCTGCATCACTGTCTGGTTCTGGGATCCTGTGGCTTTACAAACATTTTGCTCTTTAAAATGTAAAGAGCCTGTTAACCCTGGGCACCCCCAGATGGTCCCTGTGGGGGGAGCAAGTGGCCCAGGGGGCTGGCCAGCAAGTCAGTATGGGGGAGCAGGCCCTCGCCCGCTCCTGATATCCCGTGGGCACATCCTTCCAGGCTCAAGGCCTTGGGACAGAGCCAAGGCAGCCCCCTGTGCCCAAGGGCAGAGCCATCCCCTGGGGGCCGTGCGAGGGGCCGGGTCAGGCAGCCACGAGCCTCCTTCTGCCTTCCTGCCAGCAACCTCGTCAAGGCAGCCGCCGAGGAGGGCAAGGGCAGCGATCTGGAGACACCGCAGAAGAACGTCGCCAGCAGCAACCTTGTGGCCAGGAACAGTGCTGGGGTGGCTGCAGACTCCACAGCCCGGCCCAGGCTAAAGGCGGTGACAGAGGAGGAGGCTGAAAGGTGACCGCGGGCTGGGGGCCCGGGAGGGGGCCTGACGCCTGGTGATAGACGTTCCCACCCAACAGTGATTTTAAAATGCGAAGACTGAGAAACCACACATGTGACTCCATTTGCACAAAACATCAAGAGGCAGGTGTGTGGACTCGGAGTGAGGGTTCTGGGGTCTTTCGGGGCGACGGAGACATTCTCAAATTGGTCCCACGGTCCGTAAGCTTGGTAAGATCATTGAATTAAGTGCTTAAGATGGGGTGGATTTTAGAGTACGTAAACTGCACTTCAATAAAACTGTTAATTAGAAAGGCATTAAGTAAGATGACCCTGAAGAATCCCAGTGACCTCCAGGGTGCCCCCTCGGAGCCAGCCGGGGGCACGAGGGTGGGCCCAGCTTCATGGGGTTGCCCCCGGCCAGGAGCCTGCGGGGACTGGGCCTGGACTCTGAGAGCCCCCGCCTCGCTGGGCGGCCACACTGCGGCTCCCTCCGAGTCTGGGGACCAGGCCCTGGAAGCGGGCACTGGGAGGTAGGAGCCAGGAGCGCTGTGCACCACCACCTGGCTGCCCTTCCCTCGGCAGGACGTGCCGCCCTGTGTGTGCCCCATGGCAGGTGGCCAGTTGCCCCCTGTATCTCCCTCGGTACCTTTGCCGAATGAATGCAGACGGTCCTGAGAGCCGAGCTTGAGGCTCTTTGTTTGATCAGCTTTATTGAGCGTAACTTACATAGGACGAGGTGCGCCATTTTGCGCTGTTTTAGTTGTACCGTCGATGAGTTTGCCCCTCATGTGCAGTCATGTCTGCACGTACAACATGCCACGACGCAGAGTGTCCAGCACCCCCAAGACGCCCTCGCCTGCTCTTCATCCAGCTGCTGCCGGCCCTGACGCTGACCCCAGCACACCTAGGGCTCTGCCTTGCTAGAATGCTCTTGACTAGCACACACGGCCTCTGCCTTGTGCCCGGTCGAGTCTCTGTTTTGCTGCATTTTGTCCACGAGCAGCTTCAACCATGAGGACACTCATGGTGTTTACTCACAGCCAGGTGGCTAGCCTTTGGGTATCTGAAGAGCCTGTGTGGATGGGTGTATTCATTTTCCCGGGAAACATGGTTCCACCCAACGTAGGGCTGTGCTCACAGCTTGTGGCCTCCCTGCCTCGCTGGGCCTTGGGGACTCGGGGAGGAGGCGGCACTCAGCTGCCTGCTTCTTCGGTGGCATGGGGCCTCACCTCGGTCCTGAGCCCCACTGTTCGGGCAGGTTCATCCACCAGGTGAACCAGGCCGCCATCACCATCCAGCGCTGGTACCGCCACCAGGCACATCAACACCGAGCCAGAGCTGCCAGCCTGGAGCACCTGCTGGCGTCCAAGCGACAGGTCAGTGTGGCTATGTGAGCCATACCCCAAGAGGCAAGTGAGGATCCCAGGGGCCCCAACCGTGTATGATGGGGTTTCTGGGACTTGTGTGATTGAAAACAAGAATCGCTCCATGGGTCCAGACCCCATCTGGAGGCCCAGCCACCTCCCTCCCCTGAGTCCCTGGAATCAGTAGGGCCTGGATGTCAGAAAATGCCTGTCGGGTCCACTCTGGCTGCAGGGCCCCTGCTCTGTGATGCAGTCATCCACCCACCCCAGAGGAGTCACCGGCTGCCCGGGAGAGGGCTTGTCCTCCGTGGGGCAGAGCCTCGCGCAGGGCCTATGGAAGCCCAGGTGTGGACTGGGAGACCCCAGCTTCCCAGTCCAACCTGCCATGGCCTCGACTTCTGTAGAAGCAGGAACAGCAGCTTGGAGGGGGAAATGTCTTGGACCTACACCACCAGAAGGAGGCAGCCAGGAGGAAGGCCCGGGAGGAGAAAGCGCGCCAGGCCAGGCGAGCAGCCATTCAGGTGCCTGCGGTGGCCTCGTGCTCAGGGTGATCTGAACAGTGCGGGGAGCGCCCCCCGAGGCAGGACCTCTGTGTGCCTGAGAGCACCACTGTGCCCCTGGGGGACCCCTGTCCATTCCGTTCCCTGAGCCCGCCCTCCTCAAGCCCCTGGGCACTGGACCTCAGGGCAGGTCGGCTGGTGGGGGGAGGGAGGCCGTGCCCTCCAGGGGGTGAGGCTGCCCGGAGGTGCTCCCTTAGTAGGAGCTGCAGCGGAAGCGAGCCCAGAAGTCAGGCAACACTGAGCGTGGGCTGCCCGAGGAGGCCAGGGGGACAGGGAAGCCCCAGCCCGCCCAGGGGCCACCCCCGAGGCCTGGGACAGCTCAGCAGACCTGCAAGGCCAGGAACTCAGGTGAGCACAGCCTAGAGCCTGACCATGCCCTGCCACACCCCCGCCTCTGCCTCCCATCTCTGAGTGGGCACCCGTGGGTGCGGGCACTCCTAGGTACAGACACCCTTGTGCCTGGCCACCCCTCCCCTCCCTTGGGGAGCTCTGTGTTTGAGAGGGAGGTGCCGCTATCTGGTTAGGGGCTTCCACCCATGGGAGGGGGTTGCCTCAGCTATGCAAGCAGACCCCAGGCTCTGGCCTCCTCTCTGCTTACTCTGGACCTGGATGTGGGGACCATACAGAGCACAGGCTGAGAGTTCTGGGGTCACACTGGCTCCCCAGCTTTCTACCCCAGAAAGTCAGGGTTCCCTCTGCTCTGCCAAGCCCATTGTAGCACATGCTGTCATGCGCTCTGCCTCCCCCCTGCCTGATCTGAGGGGCGCCGCCCAGGTGGGCTTATGATGCTGTGTCCTATTGTGCAGGGACTGGCTTCCACACTGCAGGCCCAGAGGACCCCTGCCAGCCTGCCCCCGACTGGTCCCTGGAGCCCCGGCAGATTGCAGAGGACAAGCCCCAGGTCTCGGCACAGCCCTCCCCACCTGCCCTCCCTGGCTTCCGTGTTGGGGTGGCCCGAGCCCGCCCTTCCCCTGCTCTTCCACAGCCATGGGGGCCCCGCACACCATGAAGAGCTGCCCAGGACAGGTCTTGTTGCTCCAAAGCAGGGATGGCGTTTCTCAGATTGCCTTGAAATCCTACTGGGTCTTCACAGGCGCCCTGGGGTGGGGCCCGTGTCTACCCACAGACATGAGCGGGAAGCTCAGGGGTTAGGGTTAGACTGGCCAGGGCTGAGGGGTGGGGGGCCCGACCCAGACGCGTCCCAGCCAGCTGGCCTTCCTGTTTCCCTGAAGGTGGGCTCAGGTGAGCCCAGCCTGCGTGGCTCTGTGGGCACGCGCCTGTGCCAAGAAAGCACACCCCAGCCTCGCCTCCACGGCCCTCTGGTGGTCTCAGCTCTGATGGCCTCACTGGCCTCTCCCGCCCACCCACTGCAGGATGCCAGCTCCCAGGATGTGGCTGGTGAGGGCCTGGAGGCCGTGAGCCCTGCTGCGGATAGGGCCGCGTCCAGAGCGACCCTAGACCAGCTGCTGGACACTCTGAAGCTGCTGGAGGAGGAGCCTGAGCCACTGCCCCGCCCCAGGGCCAACCCCAGGGGCAGATACACCTGGATTGGCGAGGTGGCTGCCCAGGCGTGGGCTGTGCTGGGGCACTGCGGGGCTGGGGACGCCCACTGGGCTCCTCCCTGCCTAGTCAGGCCCCTAAGAAGGGCCAGATGGGGACTTGCTGAAGCCCCCTCCCTCAACCAGGGGCTGGCAAAGGTTGAGGACCCTCAAAATAACCTGGGGTGGGTGATACCCCTCTGCCAGCAGTGCCCCCAGGCAATGATGTGGAGGGTCTGGGTAGCCTGAGAGGCCCTCCCTTCCAGAACAGGCCTCCTCAGCCTCCCCTGCCTCCCCACCATCCTGTCCCACCCCTGCCCCAGGGTCCCGGCCAGAGTCCTTCTGCCCCAACATCCCCTAATGCTGTGTCCCTTGCAGGACGAGGCCAGCTCCCTGACAGCTGACAACCTGGAGGAACTTGGGAAGCTCAGCGCATCTGACGGCCCCGCCGAGGACGGGATGCTGCTCTCGGAGGCCAAGCTGCAGAGTGTCCTGAACTTCCTGCATGAGCTGGACTTGGAGGAGTCGGGACCGGGCCGGCCAGCCTCGGCCCCCCAGGTGTGGTGGGTCCCCAGCGTGGGGCACAGGTTGTGGGCAGGCGAGTGGGCCTGCCTGATGTGCGCCGTGTCCTCAGGGGCTGGTGCTGGAGGAGCAGCCAGGGCGCCCGGAGCCCAGGTCCGAGGTGAGCCCCTCCGTGATGCGGCTGCGGCCGGAGGTGGAGAAGCAGCAGGCGGCCGTGCTGCTGCAGAGAGCCCTGGTGACGCCCCCACCCTGCCAAGCGACCCCCGGGTGCCGCAGGGGGCCTTGTCCCTGGTCACGGGCTGCAGCGGGCTCCCTGAGAGGCCTCATCCGGCCCTCCCTGCAGGCGCAGTGGCGGGATCTCACCGTCCGGCAGGCCAGGGAGACGGAGGAGGAGCTGGGCCGGCAGCAGCGGGAGCATTACGAAGCCACCATCCAGCGGCACCTGTGCTTCATCGACCAGGTGACACTGCCCGGAAAACGGGGTGCCAGGGCAGGGGTGTCAGGACCCGCTGGGCCCATGGGGCAGGGAGAGGGACAGGACAGGGTTCCAGACCGGCCGGGGCCTCTTGGAGCCTTCTAGACCCATAGGCCTTCCTGGCTGGGCCATTTCCTTCTCTCCATAGAAACAAGCAGAGTCGTCCCTGGTGGGGACCAGGTGCCACCTGCCTGGGCTGGTCTGAGGCACACCAGCACCTCTGGCTGCTCCCCCCATAATCCCCTCTATGGCCATGCTCCCGCCCCTCATGATACGGGTGGGTGGGGGGCAGGTGGGCAGCGCACCCTTGGGTGGGGGTCCGGCCACGTGGGGTTGCTCAGAGGGCTAGCTGGCCCTATGAGGCCTGGTGGGAGGTGGGCACACACCCTGGGCCTCTCCCATGCCCTTCCCGGGCCACCCTCTCAGGGAGGCTGCTCCTGGTCTGCCGGCTGGTGAGGCAGCCCTTGCTCCCCCAGGTGAGGGGCGGTGGGCGCTTCCCCACCCTGCGCTCAGCTGCATACCTGGGGTCCTTTTCGGGAGAAAATCTGTGGGGTCTGTGCAGAGGAGAAGGAGCCCAGAGAAACAGCCCCCCGGTGGCTGTGAATGGCACCCGCTTGGCAGTCGTCGGTGTGTAGCCCTTGGGGCGGCCAGGCGCCATCCTGGGGGCTTCACAGAGACCCCCTGGCTGGCCACAGGAAGGTCCTCCACAGGCTGGGTGAGGGGGCCCTGGAATGACCCCCCAGGAAGAAGGGAAGGAGGAGGCCCAAGATTGTGGCCCTGGCACTTTTGGGGCACAGGCCTTCCCTGGCAGGGGGAGGTGGGGTCTCTTCACAGTCAGGGGTCACGCAGGGCGGGCTTCACCTCCGGCCCCCTGACCACAGCTGATTGAAGACAAGAAGGTCCTGGCCGAGAAGTGCGAGGCCGTGGTGGCCGAGCTGAAGCAGAGGGACCAGAGGTGCAGGGAGCACGAGGCCCAGATGCGGGCGCACCACGAGCTGGTGAGCCCTCGGCCGCTCCCCCGCCCTGCCTGCCGCCTGGCTGCAGACCTGCTGCTGTCGGGCCCGGGGAGGGGCGCCCTTGCCCAGCCGCCCCAGAGCGGGGCGGCCCCTCAGCCTCCTTCTCCAGCCGGGGAGTCCGGTGTCGTCGGCTTGTGAACAGGACCCCCAGACCCGCCATGGCACCTTGGAGCCAGGAGCCTGTGTATGAAAACCTTGGGCTGTGCCCCAGCCCAAGATGCCATCCGGCAGGCAGGGGTACCCCAGCACCAGCTCTGTCCCCTCCTTCCCCTGGAGCTGCATCCCACGTGCCTGTCAGGAGCCAGAGGGGGCCAAGGGGCTTGTGTGACCCCTGCGTGTCACAGATGAGCAGCCCCCGCCCCGACAGTAACAGCTGTGTGCGAGCCGCCCACCCCAGCTCTGGGTCCCTGGGCAGCGGGACCTCACCTAGTTTTCCCGGCTCCAGGCCAAGGCCTGTCCCCACCGCCTCCTGCTTTGCCAGCGGTCACTGTCCTGCTGACCTCATCTCGGGCCTCCCGCTTCCCCAGGGGGGCAGATGGGATTGCCAGGAGTCACGTGGAGGAGCTGGCCGGCGCACCTCCTGACTGGCACCGGGAGAGAGTCCCCGTTCAGAGACTGAGGGCGTGGCCAGGGGGCAGGGGGCCTCTGCATCCCCGCTTCCCACAGCGACTCTGTGGCCTCCCATTCTCTTGCTGGTAGGAGACCAAGAAACTGAAAGAGCTGATGAGCGCCACTGAGAGGGTCCGGAGGGAGAAGTGGATCAACGAGAAGACCCGCAAGATCAAGGAGATCACGGTCAGAGGTGGGCGCAGGGGAGGCGGGTGGGTGCCGGCGGGCACATGGGCTCAGCACAGACGGAGTGCCCCAGGCAGAGCCCAGCCCCAGGAGGGGTGGGCCTTGCCATCCCTCAGAGCAGGCTCCTCCCTCCAGCTCCCGGGGGGCCAGCCTGCGGGGCTCGGGGGGGCGGGTCCCAGGGTTTCCCAGCCCCTGGCATCACCCCCGTTCCCCCACATAGAGAGTGGATCTGAGGGCTGAGGGGCAACCCCAACTGTGCCTGCCAGCACCCAGCCGTGTCCAGCCTTCCTGCCCCTGCACCTCCTTCTCAGGGACCCTCCTCTAGGGAGACTGGGTACCACCAGGGGGGACCCTGTAGGCCAGTGCCTCACAGGGGAGCAGCTGCAGTGCCAAAGGCAGGGAATGGTGCTGTGGGGCCAGGTGGCCTCCGCTGTGCTTGGGGCTGAAACCCCTGGGGTGGCCCAAGTGCCCTGGCTGGCCTGCAGCCCTGGTGTCTCAGTAGGTGAGAGTTGGGGATCTCCTCCAGTACTGGGGGTGAGGATTGGGGCCCCCGCAGCACGGTGGGCAGAGGTCGGGGGTCCCTGCAGCCTGGCGCTCCCCCCAGGCCTGGAGCCCGAGATCCAGAAGCTGGTCGCCAGGCATAAGCAGGAGGTGGCGCGGCTGCGGAGCCTGCACGAGGCTGAGCTGGTGCAGGCGGACCAGCGGGCAGCCCAGCGCTGCGACCACCAGGTGAAGGAGCTCCGGGAACACCTGCAGCAGGAGAAGGAGGCCCTGGCACAGCAGGAGAGGGAGCGTGCCCGGCAGTGGTGGGTGGCCCTGCCCTGGAGACTGGCTGACGTGGGCAGGGTGCCGCAGGCAGCTGAGCTGGGGTGTGCCTGGACCCTGGTGACGTAGGCAGCCGTATGTGCGAGCAGCACCCTCCTCCCACAGGATGGGTCAGGTGCTGCCCAATGCCAGAGACAGGCCGGGTGGGGAACTGGGCACAGGGCTGAGTGGCGGCCTCCATGCAGATGCCACCAAGGCCTCTCGGGGAGTGTGTCTGCGGGCGGTGCCTGGGAGCTGGGCAGGGTCCGCTTCTGGCGGCCCCTGGACCCCTCTGTGTGCAGTGGCCGTGCCCGCCCCTCTGCTCTGAGCAGCCTTCCTGCCACGGCGCGCTCAGCGGTCCTGTCGCGGCAGCTTCGAGCGGCAGCTGGAGCAGGAGCAGTGGGCCCTGGAGCAGCAGCGGCGCCGGCTCTACAGCGAGGTGGCCGAGGAGAAGGAGCGGCTGGGCCAGCAGGCAGCCAGGTGCCGCCGGGAGGCCCGGGCCAGCGGGCAGCCGGCGCCACGCGCCAACCCAGGTGCTGACATCTCCCCCGCCTGCAGGCAGCGCGCTGAGCTGGAGGAGCTGAGGCTGCGGCTGGAGGAGAGCTGCTCCGCGGAGAGCCGGGCCCTCAGGGCCGAGTTTGAGAAGGGAAGGGAGGGGCAAGAGCAGCAGCACCAGGTGTGCCAGGCCCGGCCCGCCCTCCTCCCGGGAGGCCCGCAGGGTGGGCTGTGAGGCTTGCTCACGGCCATCTGCCTGCAGATGGAGCTGAAGGCCCTGAAGGACCAGCTGGCAGTGGAGCGGCAGCTGTGGGAGGCCAGCTGCGCCAAGAAGGAGGTGGGCGTGGGTGCGGCCCGTGGGAGGGCGGCACCGGGCAGCAGAGCCAGCGCGAGTGGGTCCGGTGGGCGCAGTTCTGGGTCCCCGGCCTGGCTGCTGGGGCTGGCCAGCCCCTCTCGGGGGCTCCAGGAGTGACCGGAGCCGTGCGCCTCCTCTCCAGGAAGCATGGCTGCTGAGGCGGGAACGGGAGCTGAGGGAGGAGACGCGGAGAGACCGGGACAAGGAGATCGAGCTGGTGGTCCACCGGCTGGAGGCGGACATGACGCTGGCCAGGGAGGAGAGCGAGAGGGCCTCCGAGAGCCGGTGAGGCCTTCCCCTGGCACCCGGCGCTCCGCCGTGCCAGGCCCAGGCTACCCACCCCGCTGACCCAGCCCCTGCCGCCCCCAGCGTCAAGCGCGTCCGGGACAAGTACGAGGCGGAGCTCACGGAGCTGGCACAGTCCGAGCGGAGGCTCCAGGAACAGTGCACAGAACTGAAGGGGCGCCTCGCAGAGGCCGAAGGGGAGAGCGGGCGCCTGCAGGGCCTGCTGCGGCAGAAGGACAAGGAGCTGGCCGGCGTGGCGGCGGTGAGAGGGCTTTGGGGCTGCCGCCGGCCCCCGCCCGCTGCCGCTCGCTGTCCTGCTCATGGCCTCCCTGCGCCGCCAGGTGAATGCGCAGCTGGCCGGGGAGCGCAGCCGCCTGTCCCAGGTGCTCCGCCAGGAGTTCGCCGACAGGCTGGCGGCCTCTGAGGAGGAGAACCGGCAGGTCCGGGCCCAGCTGGCAGAGCTGCAGGCGCGCCAGCAGCTGGAGCTGGAGCAGCTGGCACGAGAGAAGCAGGCGGAGCTTGAGGAGGTGCATGGGAGGTAGGCTGTGGGCGGCTCCGGGCTGTGGGCGGCTCCGGGCTGTCGGCGTGCGTGGGGTGGTGGACTCTCGGACTGAGGAACCTGGACCGGTCAGCAGCAGCTGCTGTGGGCTCCGTGCTGGGCCCCAGATGGGTGCTGTCATGTGGCCGGGCTCTGCCTCTGTCCCAGGAACTCCCCAAGAGGGTCCAGCCAGGGTGGGCGCCTCCCTGTGGGGCCCCAGGGACGCAGGTGCTATGCGGAAAGGGCTGAGGCCCCATGGGGCTCGCGGTGAGCGGCCACCCCACAGGAGCCCTTGTCATTCCCAGCAGGTTCTCTGAGAGGCAGGGTGGCAGCAGGGGGTGCCTCTGGCTCTCAGCCCCTCCTGGGTGGGCACCATCATCCCACTGTGGGCCCCGACCCACCCTGGTTCTGTGGGCAGGGTCCTGGTGCAGCCATGGGGTCACAACCCTGTCATCAGCTCCTCTGGACAGCCCAGTGCCTGCAGCCAGCAGGGCAGGGACGGGGCGGGCAGGGCTCTTCTTGGGGTAGAGGCCCCTTGCTGGCCGCCCTGCTGCCATCAGAGCTGCAGACAGCCTGGGGTCTGGCCCGGGCACCACACAGAGCCCACCGTGTGCCCCCCGCAGGGTGAAGATGGCCCTGGTAAAGAAGGAGGAGACTGTGAGCAGCCTGCGGAGGCAGCACGAGGTGGGTCCCTGCTGCTGGGCCTGCGGGGGGCAGGGAGCGGGGGGCCCAGGCCTGGCCACAAGTGGACGGCGTATTGCAGGCGGCGGTGAAGCGGGCTGACCACCTGGAGGAGCTGCTGCGGCAATGCCGGCGGCCAGTCCCAAGCACCAAGTGACTGCCCGCCAGGCAGGACGTGAACAGGCCGACGCGTCAGGGCCGATGGTGTGTGGCATGCGACAGACATGGGCCGCCACGGCGCCTCCTCCCCTGCCCTGTGCCTGGGCCTCCCCAGCCCAGAGTTCTGTGGCCGCAGTTTAACAGTAAAGAGGTGCTTTGCCATGCTTGGTGTGACCCTGCCTCAGCTCTCTCTCCTGGCTGGGTCCGGGGTTGGCAGGGGCTAGGGGCTGGAGGCTGCCAGAGGGCCCACCACGGAGTCTGGGGCTGACCCCATGTGCTCCCTGCTGGGCCCCCGGCTCAGGCCGCAGTTCCCGAGCAGAGGTGGCCCTGTGTTCCGTCCTGGACCTGGACGAGCCCTGAGCCACTCAGGTGCCCCTGCTGGCCCGCCACATGCCCTGGAAGGGGCTCTGAGGCAGCCTGCTGGGTGCCCTGCCCATGGGCTGCTGTGTCCCCGCATGGCTGGCAGCCCCCCAGGAGACCCTCTCCTTGTTTCCCCAACTTGGACACCCTTGGAGGTGTGGTTGCCTGGAGCCCTAGAGAAACAGGCACTGGAGGGGCCCTGCCTGTGAGCAGGGTGGAAGCCCATCCCCTAAAGTCCAGGCAGGGGAGCAGCAGGGCACTGGACAGGGCGCTGGACAGGGCGCTCCTCCTCGGCGCCCTCCCGCCCTCGCTCTGCCGGGGGCTCTGTCACCACTGCTGCCTGGGGCGGCACGCTGCCTGCACCGGAGCCCCTCCTGCACCCTCCGTCCGCCTGGGGGGATTTGGGCTCTCGCAGTGCGTCCCACAGCCGCCACTCTCAGCTCCAGTGCCGTGGGGCCAGGAAGGGCCTTGGCAGACTCTTCGTGGGCCTGAGCAGCTTGCAGCAGTGCTGACCTGCATGCAGGGCCCTTTTATCCCAGCCCCTGCCCTGGAGTGGGGGGTGGGGGCCGGGCCCGTCCTGCACAGGAGACTCTTTTCCTTCTTTGGGGCCAGAGCCAGAAACGGAAGTATGGCCGGAGGGAGTTCCTGGCCTGGCCCGGGCAGAGTGCATGTGCGCACGCCATGTCCCCACCCTCGTGGCTGTCTCATCACCATGAGATGACCGTGCGAGAGGAAGCCTCTCCAGCCCCAGCTGGGACTCCGTCGTGGGGCTTGAGATGAGGAGGGGGCTTGCTCAGCACACCAGAGGGGCTGCCTCAGTTGCCCAAAACTCTACTGGCCCCCACCTGTGTCCCCTTGGGGCCAGCTTGTGCCAGAGCCCCTTCCCCACTGGGCCTGTAGCCCGTCCCAGCCCCACCCTTCAGCCAGCCCGGCCTCTGCCAGCTCCTGAGTGCCAGGCTGGCCTCTGGCCATCTTTCCCAAGTTCCCAGCACAGAGAGATGGGGACGGGCGGCCCCGGGCCAGGGCTTTGGGCGGCCTCCACCAGGAGAGTGTCTGTTCAGATCTGCACTGTGTCACTGTCCTTCTGTTCTTGATTCCTAACCTTGCCATGGTCAGAAGATGCGTCCCATGTCACTCCAGCCGTTTGCTTCCACGGAGACTTGCTTCCAGGCTGGCATGTGGCCAGTTTTGCTCAGTGCCCACCGAGCGTTAAAGGAAATAAGTGCCCGATGCGGCCATCTTCTGGCTCACGTCCGGTCGGTCCGCGGCCCCGAGTCATCCTGTCCTCACTGATTCCCTCCCCGCCCTTGCCGCTCCAGCAGAGGATGCCACTTGTCTGTGACCGTGCGGTGCCCACCTCGCTCGGAAGCCACATTCCGGCCTGTACGTCCAGGGTGGTAGAGCTGTGTGCTTACCAGCTGGCCCCTCTGGGCACCTGGGCACCTCGCCTTAGAGCCCCGCATCTGGTGGTGGGAGCCACGCAGCTTTCTCCACGCAGGGTTGGTGTGGCCTGTCTGCCAGCTCCTTCCTGTCGGCCCTCCTGTGGCCCTCTGGTTAAGTCAGCGCACAACCAGGCAGTAGGCAGGGAGCAGGCCTGGGCCCCGGCCCACAGGGAGGGTTGGGTTGTGCCTCTGGGGACTGGCCCGGCTCTCCTGTCCGCCCTCCTAGGCCCACAGGAGCTGCGACCAAAGCCCCCCTCCCTGGCAGGTACTGAACACCCAGGGGGCTAGGTGCCCGCCTCAGCTGCTTGGCCTCGGCCGCCATTACCTACCGCCAAGCACCTGACGGGCCCACCTCTCAGGGCCTTCCTGGGGTTTCTGAACCATCCTTTGTCCTCAGCGCTTTGCTTACTCATAATAAACATGGTTAAAAAAAACCCACATGGTGTAGTAGCCGGGGGATGGGGTATGCTGCGGGGACACGGAGCCACCATGGAGAGGGCAGGGTGCTCAGCAAGGTGAGCACGTTGTGACCTGGCGGGTAGAGAGTGACCCCTCTGGGAGGTGACGTTTGAGGGAAACACCGAGGAGAAGAGGGAGCTAGTCATACGTGCCAGGCCCAGGAACTGCCGTGCAAAGGTCCTGGGGCGGGGCAGTGCCTGGCTAGAGAGCAGTGAGGGAGCTAGTGTGGCTGCAGCAGGGCTGGGGGATCTGAGATCAGGTCAAATGGGGGGAGCCAGGGTGGGGAGCATGCCAAGGATTTGGCTTGACTGCAGGAGAGGGGACCTCTGGGTGCCTCTGGGCAGAGCAGTGGGTCTGACTTGATTTTAAAAGGCCCTCTCCGGCTGCTGTGTCGAGAGCCAACTGTCAGGATGTGAAGACAGGGAGGTCAGTTCAGGGGCCCTGGCCATCCGGGCAAGAGGTGGTAGTGGCCGGGCTGGTGCAAGGAGGGGGCTCTGGATGCATCTTGAGAATAGCCTGTGGACTCACCACACAGGTGGGCATGAAGGAGGCGGTAAGGACGGCGCTTGGGGGGGAAGGGGCTCAAGCTGCTGCAAGTGGGCCCTGCGGACGTTCGCCTGCCCTGTAGCAGCCCAGGGGCACTCCTGAGGGGCCGTGCCTTTGCTTCTGGGGCGATCCAGCCACCTTTGGCCCCAACATCCTAGAGGGTCTGGAGCCCATGTGGCAGCTGGAGGAGGGGCCCTGCGTCCTGTGACCACAGCATAAGTGACACACGCCCCACTGCTTGCCCCCGACACCCAGGTGCAGAGGCCTGGGGGGGTCCCGGGCTCCCACAAAGACCTGTGCCCAGGATCAAGGGGGCAGTGCAGCCAACACTGTCTGGTGACCGTGAGGCCCTTGGCCTGGGCAGCCAAGGAGCGACGCGGCTGTAGCAGAGGGAGGGCTGCAGGCGGCGGGAAGCCAGGGCTCAGCTCCATCGAGTGTGCAGTGGAACGGTGTCAGGCAGCCAAAACGGGCAGGATGGGAGGGTGGGGGGAGCTGCCACTGCACAGGGGCCACTTAAACCTCAGGACGGAGCCTGACAGGTGGCAGGTGTGGGAGGCGCAGGGAGGGGCTTGTTCCGGAAGAGCTTGGGGGAAGTGGGGCGTTGAGGGAGGGAGGAGGAGGCAAGGGCGAAGCCTGGGGCACAGGTGTGCCCCTCTGAGCCCACCTGGTTGCTGTGCAGGCCTCAGACAAGAGCAGAGCCCAGCTGGTGCTGGGCAAGGGGACCCGCAGCATCAGCCCAGACCCATGAGGGGTTGGGGGCCAGGTGGACACACCCCTGGCTCCCTCCCCCCACCGCCACAAACGCACAGGCTGTGTCGCTTCTTTAGTGCTGTTTTCCTTCCATTTTCCTGGCTCGGGCTGCGTCCACCCCCGTGGCCTCCTGGATGGCCTGTGTGTCCCGCAGGCTCCTCTGGGGACGCTCTCTGGGCCGGGCTGGCTGTGGGCCCACTCTTTCCTTGGGATTTTCTCCTTTTAAAGCAACTCAGAAAATTCTAAAGGAAGAGACAGATTTCTAGTAAGTAATCCCCTGGCTTTTGCCCCCTGAGCCCTGCAGGCCCAATGGAGTGCAGTGTCCCCTCTTATGAAGGAGGACCCCAAAGGCCAGGGGGCCTTTTTCTTGCCCTCCTGGGCCCTGGGTGGAGTGCGGGACAGACCAGAACATGCTGCCCCTACCACTGCTGTGTGCTCCGTGCCCCGGCCCACCCGGGGGCTTGGGACAAACGTGTCTCTGCAGGGACCCTCAGGCATTCCCTCCAGAGCCTTCTGAGCTGGTGCTCCTGTGCTCTGCCTTTCTCTCTGGGGAAACCGAGGCACCAGAGGCTGGGCTGTGAGTCCTGGACAGACTCTCACCCACGCCGTCCCCTTTATGCCCCGAGGCTACCTCTCCAGTCAGGCTTTGCAGCCCCAGACTTAAGGACTGGCCCATGGCTGACTGGCACCTTGGACACCCCTCAGAAACCCACCACTGACCCCACGGCCCATGGTGCCCAGCTGCCCTTCCCCAAAGCTGGCTCAGGCCACCTCTCCTCTGCTCAGAAACCCGCAGTGGCTCCTGTGGCCCAGTGACACACCCTGCCAGGCTCTGCATCCCTGAGACTCACTGTCCCCATCTGCGAGCTGGGGAAGCTCACAGGAGGCTGTGACTTCCAAGGATGACAGCGCCTACTCAGCGCTGCACGGATGATACAATGTGGGCTCCTGGGGGTCAGGGTCAGGAAGGTTCTGAGAGGTGCCCCGCTCCCCTGCCCCACCTTCAAAGTCAATCCTCCCAACCCTGTCCATGTTGGCTGCCTGGACCACGGCCTCAGCCTTCCCATCCGTCAGTGGAGTGACCGCCGTGCTGCTGGGGTCGGTGGACGGGGGGGTACCTGGGGTCAGGGGTGGGCTTGGGTCAGAGCTGAGGAGGCGTCTGGCTGGTGCCCAATGGCTCACAAGGTGCTCACCGCCCACTTTGCAGGTGGGGAGACGGGCCCAGCTGAAGAGGGGGCTCAGGGCCTGGGCCCCATGCTGTGGACCGGGACCCTGTCTCTGGCCAGCTGGTGGTCCGATGTGGGGTGTGAGGTCTAATGGGGTAGGAGTGGTGGCTGTGGACGGAGCAGGGTTCCAGAGCCTGAGGTGCCCACTCCCGGCCAGGAGCGGGTACTTGACCTCACTCCACTCAGTGAAGCCGCTCTTGTCCTTGTCCAGGGTCTGGAAGGCCCGGTGGGTGGCGCTGTCCAGCTTCCCAGAGGCCTGGAGTTGAAGGAGCCTGGGACAGCCAGGCACAGGTCATCAAGCCCAGGAGGGGTCTCCTGCCCTGGGGTGGGAGCTAGGCCCTGACACTCCCCCTGTGCATCCTGAGCCACCCACCCCAAGGGACGAGCTCCTGTGCCCACTGCTTCCTTGGCCACGGCTGGGCCAGGGCAGGGGCGTGTGCCTGGGGGCTCCGGGGAGGCTGTCCCAAGGTGCCTCATGTCCATGGGCCGCAGCAATATGTCCGTGTCCAACAGGGACGTGCCCGTGGCTAAGGCCGTCTTCTTCATCTGAGAGAGTCCTCGTCCGTCCTGGCTCTGCGGTGTACAGGGAGCTGGCTTGGCTGATACATGGCAGGGGTGGGGCTCTGCCCAGAGCTGACTGCTGCCCCTGAGTGAGGGCCCGAGGGGCCCAGACTGGGCTTCCAGCTGCCCTCAGGCTGCAGAAGGTACTGGAGGGGTCAGCTGTTCAGCACCCAAGATGGCTGGCTTTGCAGAGACCCCTGCGCCCAGGGCCCCAGAAGAGGTACCCTGAGGTACTTTCCTGGACCACAGAGGGGAGGCCTGAGGCTCCGAAGGGGAGTCACGGCACCAGGCCCCTCACCCTGCTCAGAAGAGGCCCAGGTGGCAGCTCTCTGGTTCCCCAACACCATGGGAGAGGTTCTCTCTGTCCTGTCAAGGGCCACTCGGAGCTGCCTCCTCTGGGAAGCCTTCCTGGTCACCTGAAGTACCACCTCCTTCCACCGTGACTCAGGGTCAAGGTGCTTGGCCCGGCAGGTCTCGGTCGCCTTGGCTGAACCGTGAGGCCCAGTGCCAGGTGTGCTGTGCACTATGCTGTGTGCCAAGTGCAAGCCAGTCTCCAGCTGGCCCTGGGTTGCGTGAGGGACAGACACTGCCTGGGCAGGACCACGGCCCCCTTCCAGGCATTGCCCATGGCCCCTGTGGAGGTGTGTGCATCGCTGCCCCCACTTCACAGAGAGCTGACGTCAGTAAGCGGTGGACTCCAGCCAGGCAGGTGGGGGTGTGGATACAGCCCAAGGGGCCAGCAGACAAGGACCCGTCCATCCTTGGGGTGGGTTCTGGGTTTTGTGGCAAAACAGCTGTTTCAGAGGCTCCTTGGCCTTTTTGAAAGTTCACAGGGTGGTGGAGCTTTCTTGAAGTGCTCCTGCACCAGGAAGGGCAGCCCCGTGGCCCGTGGGTCCTGAGCAGAGCTGGGCAGTGGCTGGAGGTGTCTCTGCTCCCCTCCCAGTGGAAAAGCCACCAGTCAAAGGCTGCACCCCACCCAGTGGCCTGGGGGAGCAGGGGCGATGCTGATACAGCCCCTGGACAGGCCACCGGCTGCTCAGGGCCTCAGGCTCCTCACTGGGAAAGGGGCAGAGCCCTGCCCACCCTTCCCCTCTACAGCATGTGTGAGGAGCTGTGAGGGGAGGGAGGTGGGGAAAGGGCTTAGGGCCCTGTGGGGGCCTGGAGCAGGGCTCCCCACGAGGCACCCCTAATGGCCCACTCCTGCAGCCAGCCCTGGAGGAGGGCTCAAGCAAGGACCAGGGGCAGGCCCTACCACCCTACATCCTGGCTGAGACGCTGATCCCCGCTCCCACCCTGGAGTCTGGAAAGTGCATTCTGGGGGGACGGGCAGCCCGCCTGCTGCTCAGCCCTGCCAGCCGCCAGTGTCACTGCTTTATGGAGGGGGGACAGGGCCAAATTTCAGGCCAGGTCAGGTCTGGCAGAGTCAGAGGCCAACATCCTGTCTGCAGAGTGCCGTGGGTGCCCTGGGCCATGCCATTCATCGCCCGTGTCCACCCCACTGCTCTCTGGGACACCCCCGTGAAGGCAGGGGAACCTGACGCCAGAGCTGGAGGTGGGGTAGGCAGGGCCTGTGGCCTTGGGCTGTTGCTGGTGTATTTATAGCTATTTCGGGGCCTGGGATGGAGTCTTACTCACCCCAGAGTGAGGCCGGCGTGGCCCGAGTTGGTGGTGGACCACACAACCCGGCCCTGCAGCCCCCTCAGCCTCCTGGGATCCCCCAGTGCCTGGAAGGGCCCCACCCCTCCCTACCCCCACCTCATCACTCTCCACACACAAATTTGCTGGAACTTTAAGGCTAAAAACCCCAGGCCCCAACACGTCGCTGGCATGGCTGTGTGCTGAGAGTGCCCAGTGCTGGCAGGGACGTCCCCGCGCTGCCCGGAGCTCTCCGCCCTCCCACAGGCCAGCTTCTGCCGGCGGATCACCCGGTTCAGGTGCCGAGACGAGGAAAAATGCCTTATGGACCAGTGGGAGGTGGAGAGGGGGTGATGGCAGCAGCGGGCCCATGGGACTGGGCGCAGGGGCCCCAGGGCCAGCGCAGGGGGCCTACCAGAGCTGCCAGGTCCTTTGACCTTGGGCGCTCTGCCCTGCCAGCCACCACCCACCCGCCCCGCGCTGTCCCCCTTAGATGTGCACCCAGACCTGGGCACGCAGCTGCCTGTGGGTGCGGCTCCCTTTCCTCTCCTCTTCCTGTCTCCCCTGGACCTCTTTGGGGGCCCCCAGGCCCCAGGGCCTCCCCTCATTGCCCCAGCCCCTGCCGTGCAGCTTGGCAGCTCCGGCCCCACCCAGCGTACCTCTCCCCAGGCAGGACTCACCTCTGCCAGGCTTCCTTCAAGGGGTCTGGGGAGGCAGGTCAGGAGGCAAGAGTCTGTGGAGGCTCCAGCTTTTATACCCGGAGTTGTTCAACCTGTTCATAGCTTAGGGCTGCCCCTGTCCCCCAGCCCCTCCCCGCACTCCATCCTGGCTCAGGCTGCCCCCAGGGGCTCGCTGGCACTTGGTGCATCCACCCAGCTGTGCACACTGGCCTTCAGGGGCACCTGGCCTCCCCGAGCAAGGGCGTGGTCGGGGAGGGGGGCGGCGCTGGCGGGCTGGTAGAGTTTCTGTCTATCGCCTGAGGTTCCCCTGCCTGCTGGCCTCACAGGGTGGGGATGTGGTGGTCCCAGAGATGGTCAGCCAGGAGAGGGTCCCCCAGAGGGTACAGGCTGGCCTTTGTGTCCAAGAAGCCGCAGAGGACAACAGGCCCCTCGAGGTGAGCCACTGGGCTGTCCTTTGCCCCTAGGGGAGCCACGCCAGGGCTGACCCTAAAGACAGTGTGTGACAGGCCTGGAAGGCTCCTAGGGCACAGGGGGCAGGACTGTGAGACCCTGGGCAGGGTCCTCACGGAGTGGTCACCAAGGTGAGGATGGGGGACCAGAGAGGAGGCCAAGAGCCCTCCCAGCCATGGCCTGCCTACAGGGAGACCCTCACTGCCTGTCCACCTCAGGCCCCAAGCATGACAGTGCAGGGCATCCAGGCAGCCACTTCCCAGCCCAGCCACCAGCCGCCCTCTGACCTTTGTCATTTCATGCAGCAGTGAGGCAGCACTGAGGTCCCCCTTCTCCGTGTGAAGGTTTGTCACATGTCACCAAGCCTGTGTGGCTACAATGTAAATGGCTCTGTCTTAGGCTGACAAGCTAAGGATGGTCTTAGCTAAGTACCTTCCTCAACTGGCCCCCTGCTGCTGGACCCTGAGCAGTGACAGTGCCTGCCGTCGAAGTCGAACAGTCCCAAAGGGGAGGCATCGAGCTGAATAAATGTACAACTCACTCTGAGAGGACACCCCACGTTGGGTGCCAGATGTAGTGTGACGCACGTCTTCTTTGGGTGAAATGAGAGAACAAAAAACACAGACACGGACAGACAGACAATGGCTGCGGCCCCAATGTGGTGCAGCATCTGTATTTTTATACTGCCTTTCTCGGACCTCAGCCAAGTGCTACACTCATCTTTCCCTTCTCAAGGGGGGCAGGCCAGAGCACCTTGGTGATTTTCTTAGAAGCTGCCTGGTAAGCACAGGCGGTGTTTTCACACGTCCTCAAGGTCTCCCTATTTTCAGAGTGAGGCGTCTTGGCTCGTCTTTGAGGACAAGATATGTTTTTGTGGGCAGATAACTTCCAAGGATGGCACCAGTTGTTCTCAAGTTGGTGCTTTCCCCTGCTGCCTTCAGACATGTGAGAAGACAAAGGCCGTCCCCTACAGAGCAGAGCCCAACATTTTTATCAGAAGACGCTATTTCAGCGTGCATCTCTGTCCAAGTGAGAGTGTCTCCTGTTCCTTGGCTTTGTTCACCAAGTCAGTGACCCGGACGCCCCATGCCCTGCGGTCTCCCTGCTTGTCCACTCACCCTGTCTTTGCGGGTTGGCTGATTCTGGGTATTTTATGCAAACTGAATCACACTTGGTCCCCAAGAGGCAGCACTGATGTCCATTCGACATGTGCATCCACACGGGAATATGAGCCTGCCCTGCAGGGAGGGCCATGCGGACACCTGCAACTCCATGAGCCCCACAGCCTTATGCTGAGCGAAAGAAACCAGAGGGCTTTAGAGCGTAACGATTCCATGTGTGTCAAATACCCAGACTTGGCCACAGAGACAGAAAGCAGACTAATAACTTAAGGGAGTTCGGGGAGGAGATGATGGGGGTGATTGTTGGAGGGGTTCAGTGTTTGACTTTCAAGTGATGGGAATGTTCTGGAATGAGGAAGTGGTGATGGTTGCACAGCATTGTGAATGCACCAGTGGGAACAATGCTTCTTTCTAGACTCTATAATGTTTTGCTATATTTGCCTTATTGAATATCCATCCATCAATCCATCTTATTTTGAAGACATCGGTGCACTGCACACTTAAATAGGTCAGCTTTATCATTGTTCACAAAAATTATTCTTGTACTCACCACACTATGGTATTATTTGTTTTTATTGAAGTACAGTTGATACATATTTTACTGCTTTCAGGTGTACAACATAGGGATTCAACAATTACATACATTAGGAAACGCTCACCATGGTATGTGCAGTCACCATCTGTCACCATACAAAGATATGAGTGTTTCCTATGCCATACTTTCATTCCTGTGCCTTAATTCATTTTATAACTGCACGCCTTGATCCCCTTTGCTGTTTGCCCAACACCCCCCTCCCAAACAATGCTTTCATGAAGCATAAATCAACAAAACTGAAAGAATCAAACTGCCTCAGGGTCTGCGGTGTGGCCACTCAACGCTGAGCCCGCCTCCACCTGCTCCTACCAGGGACACAGGAAGGCCTTGCCCATGCACACCCCTGCCTGGGCCCTGAGGTGAGGGTGGGGAGTGGGCAGGCGGCTGCCATGTGCCGGTGCCTGTGTCTGGGCCTGCCCCATGCCACCCACCCTGCTCCTCCGGCCCATGGAAGATGCGGCTCCTCGGCCCCTGGGACCTGCCGTCCTGGGTCCCCTCTGGGCCTGCAGCCCCCACGGCAGATGGGCTCCCAACCTAGGCCCGGCCCCCGAGGGTCAGCTCCTTCCGGGTCAGCCTTGGTCAGGTTTCTGTGGGCCAAGGATGCACTGTGTCCTGTGGTAGAGAAGCCAGCGAATCGGCAGGCCTGGCCTTTGCAGGTGGAAACACACTGTGACCAGACCAGCCGGTGCTCCAGGCAGCAGCCACTCAGGTGTGCGGCTCCTCTGCCCCCACCACGGTCAGGCCTGAGCTGCTCAGGCTGTGGAGGGCTTTGGGAACCCTGCCTCCCCCAAGGCCAGGGGTTGGGCGCATGTCTTCAGTGACCAGTTGCCATCCCAGGATTGGCAGAAGCCGGCAGAAGCGACTGCCGGTCCCCCCCCAGACTGCAGGTCCACCTGCCCACTCTCACCCTTGCACATCCTGTTCACAGGGGTGCCAGACAAGCGAGGCTGGGTGGCCCAGGGTATGTGGGGGGTTTTATCACTAGGGCTTGCGTTCTCTGCTCTCCCTTTTCTCAGAGGATGGGGTACTGGCCCTTAGGCGCCAATGCTGGAGAGAGCCCCATGCAGCCCAGCCTGTAGGTGGCCAGCCCTGAGCTGCTCAGCTCTGCCCTCCACATGACTTTTGCCCATTCATGCCAGCTGGGGGTTGGCTCACGGCTGACCTAGGGGCCTTGGGCTCAGAGGACCCTGGAGGATAGCAGTTCTCGTCCCAACTCCAAGATGCATGCAGACAGACCCTCCCCTGAATGCCAGTGCCAGCCTTCCTGCCCAACAGCACCATGAGCAGTAATTGCTTGGTGGCTGGCTGCACGCAAGAGGTGTCGATCCAAAGAACAGTTGGACAGTCACCCTGCTTGGGGAGCAGCAGGACTCCTGGCTCTGATGGTAGCTCAGAGGACCCCAGTGTGCAGGGAGAATGGGGTGGGTGTGCTGGCCCTGGGGCCTCGAGTGATCTCCCCTACTGCCTGGGCCGTGGAGGAGGACCCACAACACAAGCCTAGAGCCCCAGAGATCTGGCTTACTCTCTCCATGTGCCTTCTGCTGCAGGAGCCACGCTGTGTGTGCCCCTTTGTGTGCCAGTGTGTGCACATGTGCTGCGTTCATAGGCAAACCCATGTCACAGCTTCTGGCCCTGGGCACTGAGGTTGGCTGTGGCAGCATAGAGGGACTGGACACAAGCAACTTAGGGCCACTGGTCATTCCCCTGCCTGTCTCCTCGGAGCCTCCCTGGCTGCACTGAGGTCCAGGCGTCTGGGGCACCTTCCTGGAGGGCAGGGGCAGGACCCTCCCTACGGCGCACTGCTCAGCTTGCCTCTTGGGTGGGGAGGGGGTCATGGACCCAGCTGCTCATACTGGGCGCACTCCTGCATCACAGCCCTCAACCATGTTTGCCATTGGTGGTCTCTGGCCATCTTGGCTCCCGGGGACCGAATGCCTGTCATGGGCCAGGCCATCTACTGGCCACTCCTTTCATCCTCCACGGGGTCCTGTGGGGCAAAGTTCCTGAGAGCAGTGGCTGTACGATCAGGGCCTGGAAGAAGGTTCAGGATGCCTCAGCCTCTTCCACAGGCCTGGGGGTGGAGGTGTGTGGCCTCAGCCGGGACCCCCTAAGGTCTGAGGGGAAAGGAGGGGGATTTTTGCTTTGCCACTGGCAGGACTTCCTACACAATGGACCAGCTTGGAAATGGGGTGGGTGTGCTGGCCCTGGGGCCTCGAGTGATCTCCCCTACTGCCTGGGCCGTGGAGGAGGACCCACAACACAAGCCTAGAGCCCCAGAGATCTGGCTTACTCTCTCCATGTGCCTTCTGCTGCAGGAGCCACGCTGTGTGTGCCCCTTTGTGTGCCAGTGTGTGCACATGTGCTGCGTTCATAGGCAAACCCATGTCACAGCTTCTGGCCCTGGGCACTGAGGTTGGCTGTGGCAGCATAGAGGGACTGGACACAAGCAACTTAGGGCCACTGGTCATTCCCCTGCCTGTCTCCTCGGAGCCTCCCTGGCTGCACTGAGGTCCAGGCGTCTGGGGCACCTTCCTGGAGGGCAGGGGCAGGACCCTCCCTACGGCGCACTGCTCAGCTTGCCTCTTGGGTGGGGAGGGGGTCATGGACCCAGCTGCTCATACTGGGCGCACTCCTGCATCACAGCCCTCAACCATGTTTGCCATTGGTGGTCTCTGGCCATCTTGGCTCCCGGGGACCGAATGCCTGTCATGGGCCAGGCCATCTACTGGCCACTCCTTTCATCCTCCACGGGGTCCTGTGGGGCAAAGTTCCTGAGAGCAGTGGCTGTACGATCAGGGCCTGGAAGAAGGTTCAGGATGCCTCAGCCTCTTCCACAGGCCTGGGGGTGGAGGTGTGTGGCCTCAGCCGGGACCCCCTAAGGTCTGAGGGGAAAGGAGGGGGATTTTTGCTTTGCCACTGGCAGGACTTCCTACACAATGGACCAGCTTGGAAAGAAAAGGGGGCATCCTGGGACCCTCTCCCAGAGGGGCCCATCCCTCTGCAGGGCCCATTGATCCCTTGCTCTCCCCAAAGCCTTTTGGCACCTGCCGGGAGTAGGTGGTCCTCCTGCTCCCACAACCCCTGCCCTCCAGCTGGGCCGTGCCAAGGGGCTTTGCTCATCTGACCAGAGGATGAATGGGTGGATGAAGGAGTATGACCTGAGTCACGTAAAACTCAAATCTCGGCTGCACTGTAACTCCCCGGGCTCCACGGATGGGGGAGGGGACGGTCCCCAGCCTTCTGGGGCGCGCGGCTGCACCGCCCACCGGCAGACGCCGCATCAGTGCAAAATGGCGCAGCAGGCACGGCGCCCGGGCGGGGAGGGGACGGTCCTCGGTGCCGGCGCGGCCGCGCAGCCCCAAACGCCGGCGCTGTTCACTCCCGGGCGGGGGCGACCGCCTACTTTACGGTTGTCGCAGCGAGGCACAGGCGCGTGGGCCCGTGCAAAACCAGCCCCAACCCCGCTCAAGGGTCGCCACCCAGAGACCGCGGGGGCTGACCCCTGCTGCTTCCTCGGCCTGCGTGTGCACACCGCGCGCCAGGCCCCGAGTCCCGTGCGCGTGGCCCCAGACGCGCCTCCGAGCCCCGTGCCAGCTTTCCATTCCTCCTTCGTGCCGCGGTGCCCTGCCCCGCGTGCACCGCCGTGACCCTCGCCTCCCTGCACCCCCGCGCCTCCGTGCCCCCAGCTCCCTGACCCCCGCATCTCCGTGCTCCCGGCCTCCCTGCACCCCGTCGCCTCCGTGCCCCCATCTCCCTGCCCCTCCGCCCCCGCGCCTCGGGGCCCCCACGGCCACCCGGTTCCCGCTCCGCGCGCCTCCGTGCCCCCCCAGCCGGGGAGGGCGCCCCCCCTTGCGCGCTCCCGCCGGTGTTTTCGGGCTGCACCAGCCGGGAGCCCCGCGGCGCCGCGGCCGGCCTGGCGGAGGCGCCTCTTCTGCCGCCGCCCGCGCCGCCCGCGCCCCCCGCGCCCCCCGCGCCCGACCGGCCCTGCGGCTGCGGAGGGACGCTCGGGGGCGGCGCGGCAGGCAGGGCGCGCTCCGCACCTGCGGCAGCCGCTCGGCGATGGCGCGGCGCAGGCCGGGGCCGCGGGCGTCCTGAGCGCAGCGCTGCCGGGGATGCCGCCGCGCCGCCGGCCCCGGCCATGTCGTCGTCTTTCTTCAACCCCAGCTTCGCCTTCAGCTCGCACTTCGACCCCGGTGAGTCCGCCGGCTGCGCCCCTCGCCCGCGCTCTTCCCCTGCCGCTGCCCCCGACCTGCCCTGCCGCCGCTTCTCCCCACTGCGGACACGGTGCTTCCTGAGCGCCGGTTTCCTAGTTCGCATGGAAATTAACCCTTTCCCCACCCTGAGCGGAGCCGCAGAGGCACGGCTGGGGCCGGACCCCAGAAGCCCCCGGTTTCAGAGGCGGGAAGGCCTGGGGCTGGCACCCGTACAGCTGAGGCCTCTGGCGGTGGCATAGGCAGCCGAGGCACCGCTGTGTGTCTGTGGGCCCTTTGGCACAGGTAACTGGGGCGGGAGGACCTGCATTGGCCCCAGAGGTCCGAGGGAGGAAGGGGCCTGGACCGAGGGCCCCTGGGGGCGCGGAAGGCTCCTCCCCACGCTGGGAGCCGGTTCCGGGCAGCCCGCCTGGCCACCCAACAGCCTGCACAGGGAGGTGAGAGCAGTGCCCAGCTCACAGGACAGAGCTCACTGCGCAGAGACTCAGCAGAGATGGGTTCCTAGGCCTCCTAGACAGTGGGCGAGGCCGGGGTGCACTACCAAGCAGGCTGCAGGGGACCCAGGGCCAGGCTTCTAGCTGGCCAGACTGGTGGCCCCGCAGCCTGTTTACCCTCGGCTGCCTGGCCTCTTGGCAGCGGAGAGCAGCTGGGGTGGGCGGAGGGGCCAGGGGCACCTGTCCCCAGGAAGTGATAGGCCTTCTTCCCTCTGTCTTCATGAGCCTGGCCCCTGTTGGGTCAAGTGGGAGATGAACCCCTGCCCTGGAGTCCTGGCCCCAAGACCCAATTCCCACCCCCATGCACCCCAGAAGCCCCCGGTTTCAGAGGCGGGAAGGCCTGGGGCTGGCACCCGTACAGCTGAGGCCTCTGGCGGTGGCATAGGCAGCCGAGGCACCGCTGTGTGTCTGTGGGCCCTTTGGCACAGGTAACTGGGGCGGGAGGACCTGCATTGGCCCCAGAGGTCCGAGGGAGGAAGGGGCCTGGACCGAGGGCCCCTGGGGGCGCAGAAGGCTCCTCCCCACGCTGGGAGTCGGTTCCGGGCAGCCCGCCTGGCCACCCAACAGCCTGCACAGGGAGGTGAGAGCAGTGCCCAGCTCACAGGACAGAGCTCACTGCGCAGAGACTCAGCAGAGATGGGTTCCTAGGCCTCCTAGACAGTGGGCGAGGCCGGGGTGCACTACCAAGCAGGCTGCAGGGGACCCAGGGCCAGGCTTCTAGCTGGCCAGACTGGTGGCCCCGCAGCCTGTTTACCCTCGGCTGCCTGGCCTCTTGGCAGCGGAGAGCAGCTGGGGTGGGCGGAGGGGCCAGGGGCACCTGTCCCCAGGAAGTGATAGGCCTTCTTCCCTCTGTCTTCATGAGCCTGGCCCCTGTTGGGTCAAGTGGGAGATGAACCCCTGCCCTGGAGTCCTGGCCCCAAGACCCAATTCCCACCCCCATGCCCCTGGGGCCCTGGCACAGGCTGATCCAGCCAAAACAAAGCTGGGCACACACGGAAGCTTTCCTGGGTCCCCCTCCCTGGAGCAGCCCCAGTGTGTACAGCAATGCGTGGGGCTCCCTGGGCACGGCCCGGTCTGAAGACACCTGCCTCGGGAACGGTGAGCTGATGGGAGGTCTGTCTGTTGGGCTTAGGATGTGGGAGTCACTGGCTCAGACATGACTTCCCAGGCACCTCCCAGGGCTTGGAGAACATGGTGTCACCCTGGATGGACCAGAATCCAGGTGGCAGCGGCTCTGGCAGGGCCCTGAGGTGGCCTTGCTGGAGGTGGCCTTGCTGAGCAGCCCCAGGCCCCGACCACCTTTAGGGCCGGGAGTCCAAGAGCTTCAGGGGGTGCTCCAAGCAGCTTGCCAGCTGGGAGGTAGGGATCCGGCCTCGGGACTGCCAGCAGGGCGGATGGTGTGTGTGCCGGGACTGGCCCTGGGCTGCAGGAGGCCCCCCGGCTGCCGCCTCGTGCATTCTTGTGGGGCTCACACTTGGCCTGAGCGGTGTTCAATCACCCGCCTCCCACGCCTGCACCCAGGTGTGCCCTGACCACAAGACCCTTCCCCCATGTTAGAGAGAAGACAGAGCCTTGGGCTTCTTGCAAGTGTTGGTGTAAACAGATGGGACCAGTGTAATCATAAAGTGTAGTTTGATGACTGAGAGGGAAAAGTTGTCAGGAGGCCAGGGGAGGTCTCCAGTGTGGGTCAAGTGGAGGGGAACGCTGGCTGTGTCCCGCTGCCTGCCGGCAGGGCTGGCCTGGACGGGGATGTTGGGAATGAGCTGGGGCGCGGGGCTCTGTGCTGGCCGGACATGGGCACTGGGGAGGACTGGAGGTGGGGCCCCCTGCCTTCCCACTGAACGCTGCGTTGGGAGCCCGGATCCTACCCCAGAGTCCCTCTGCTCGACCTACTCCCCTGAGCCTCAGCTTTCTCGTCTGTGAAATGGGATAGTGCCCAGACCCTGGGGAGGGCTGAGTGCCTGGGGAGACTGTGTACTCTGTACATGGCACTCTGTACACAGGGACTGCTACCCTCTACTCTGGAGGGGTGGGGTGACCAGTCTGTGGGACTTGGAGTCTGGGGAAACTCACGGAAGACAAGGCCTCAGTGGCTTGGTGGCTTTTCTCCATCCCCACAGGGGAGAGAGCTTCTGCTTGTGTCTGTAGGGGATGCAGCTGTGGGCCCAGCCCTGGGTGTGAGGTCCTCCCAGTCATCAGGCCAGGTCCTGATGCCCATGGCTGACTCTGCATCCTGCCTGGCTCTGTGGTGGGCCCCACCTGAGGGTGGTGATGGTGACAGTTATGTCTAGAGAAGGGACTGAGCCTGGGGTTCAGGCTGTAGGCACATACTCCAGTGTGGCCTGGGGCAGAGGCCTTATCTAAGCCGATGCCTGCCCAGACCACCACCACCTCTCAGGTGTGGCCAGGGCAGGGTGCCTTCGTATGTGCTCCTGGGGAAACATGGGCCTGAAAAGACAAACATTTGGAAAGGCTGCCCCCTCTGGGGTCCAGCTCTTCCCCAGGATGTGGGTGACCATGGAGATTTCTTGGCAATATAAGCCTTGTGACCTCAGTGCTGTGTGGCCTTGGGTCAGTCACTCAACCTCTCTGAGACTCAGCCCTGCATTTGTGAAATCTCATCCTGGGGAAACCAGATGGGTGGGGCATGGAAGCCAAGAACTGAGGGGTGCCAAATGGGAGTCAGGAGCAGCTGGGCCCAGCTGGGAGGAGGGAATAGTTTGGCCTTCAGAGAGTGGCAATCTTCTCTCCCACTGGAGTGCCCCAGGGCAGGGGCTGACCTTGTTTCTCACCCTCTGTGGCCTCCGGCCAACCAGGTGCGGCCTGAGGTACCTCGGCAGGTGGATGGCAGGTGCAGGCCTCAGTCCGGGTGCTGTGGATTCTGGGAAGCTAGCCTTTGAGCCCCTGAGCCTGGAGCTGCCAAGGCTGCCAGCCAGGAGCAGGTGTGAGGTCGCCGTCTGGCCCTGGTTTCTCGCCCAGGACCCTAGCAATTGGTGGTAGACCAGCTCTCCATGACCCTGTGGCCCTCTCTGTGCCTCAGTTCCCTAAACTGTAAGATGGGAATTACCGCAGTGCCCACCCCTGAGGGTCATGTGAATGTCAACAAGGTTGGTGACATAGAGCACCGAGGGAGAGCACCCTGGCAGTGCCAGGCAAGGCCTACCCTGGGGCAGGGGTCACCATTCCCCCATCGGTGGGACTTGGAGTCTGGGGAAGCTCTTGGCAGACAAGGCATCCCCTGCGCCTTCCCCCCACCTCTCAGCTCATGGCATGTCCCCCACCATGCCTCCCAGGCTGGGAGCTGGCTTCCCAGTGTGGACCTGTGCACAGTACCCGGGACCTTGTGGTGGAGGTGTCCATGCAGGCGTCATGGAGAGGGAGGGAGTTTCAGTGGGACACCGTCTGCCCTGGCCTAGGGACTGGGGCACTTGGGGACTTGAGGGCCAAGAGGGCACCCCAGGAATGGGCTTGGGCGGGCTGCAGAGTCCTGCTCCCTGCCTCCTGCACATGGTGCTCCACTGCTGGCTGCCTGCTGAGCGCAGGGTCTGGCGTCTCCCTAGCCGGGGCTGGTTCCGGGTCTCACTCCTTTCCTGCACCCGAGAAAGGCTGGTCATGGGGTTGCCTGTGGGGTGTAGGCCAATGTGGGAGTGAGGGAGTGGGAGGCCATGGTTCCCTCTGGGCAGGAGGGGAGGGGAGACAGTTTCTGTGCATTCTAGCACATTCTCTAGGAAGCCAGGTGTTGCCTTTCCCCCATGAGTCCCCATAAAGCCCCTGTGCAGCTGCTTACACACAGACTCACCTGCCTCACATATGTGTGAACATGATACACACACATATTGGCACAGGTACAGTCACACGCATTCACATGTGCACAAGATACCTATAAACACACACAATCCCTTGCACCATGTACATGTGCACACTCCCACAGGTGACCACAGCACAGTACCCCTACACACCACCTGCCCACAGAGGTGGACCCTCGTATGCACCCCCCTTGTGCTCAAATGCAATGTACAGCCAGCTGTTCAGAGCATGCCTCTTTGGGCGTGGGGGCTCTTGGGGCACAGTTCCCTCTGAGATGGCCTCCTGAACCGCTGACCCCCACCAGGTGACCCCCCACTTACCCCCTCTGGGCACCCTTCCCTCCTGTCAAGCACAGCCTGAGCTGGGGGCCAGCCTGGACCTGGTCCCTCCAAGGCCAGACCATTTCCCTGGCCTTGGGTGAACTTGAAGTGGACATGTTGGTGCCCTGGCTTTTGTGTGCAATTTCCTGCTACCTCATCTGTGGGGGTCTCAGCCCATGAGGCCCATGAGACCCTACCCAGGGCCCAGCATGCTCACGGCCCTGACCTCTTGCTCAGCCCTGCCCCACCCGGCCCTGGTTGGTCATCAGGCCTCCGACCCTGTGCTGGTATTGACCTCTGCTGGCACTATGGGCTACTATAGGGAGTCAAGGTCATGGCTGGGAAGGAGCCAGATCCCCAC